ATCTACAATCCCCCCAGGACAGAGTCTCATCCTATGGACTTTCTTGTGGCCCCTGTTTGAAAATAACAACCACTGCTTGCAGGGAAAAATGTGACATGAGCCTGTACTTGGGAACAGTGATATGCCATCATCTGATCTGCCACCACTAGGGTAGGAAGCTTACCCTGCCTCACTGCCTCAAGCAGCAGGCTTGCTTCAACCCTTCAGGGCCTGTCTTCCCCACAGTTTACAATCTTCCTTTCAGTGACCTCCCAAAACATGCTGCTTCCATCCTCCCTTTCCACCCCACAGGAAAAGGACTTCCCCATCTCTTTGTCACACCTTCATTTTCAGAACATTGGTGCGTGACTTACATGCACCGACTTTAGGTGTACAGTTCTATGAGTTTTGACAAATGGTGTGTCTCTGAAGTCCATGCCCCAACCAAGACTTGGTTTTTCCTTTATCTGCTTTTGCCCCTTGTTGATTTTGGAGATCACTGGCAAGGAAGAAGGTGGCAGACAATAGGAGGCAGGGAGAAGCACACAGGGGAAGCCATGGAACATCGGACACCTAAATGTGGGGTTGTAAGAGACACAGTAAAGTCTAGGGAGGCGAGGATGCAGCATTTCTTCCCTTCAGCCCTAAGGACCCAGATCTTCCCAACCCAGGAAGGAAACAAGCACATCCCTGCCCACACCTCAGGCTTTGCATGAGAGGAGGTCCATGACTATGGCCAGAGGAAGCTGGTATGTCCTATCTCCCCTGGGGTGTCCTGGGGGCCTGCTCTGTTCCATACAATGATGCAAGAGAATGATGGCATTTGCATTTCCCCAGATACCACTGGGAGAGGAAGTTTGTCTTCTCTCTCTATGAATGAGGTTAAAAAAACTGCTGCATTTCCCTTCCACAAGTCCTTCCTTTTTGAAGGAGGAGAGGGGGAACATCAGAGCTGGAGATTAGAGGCTCCTTGCAGATGTCACACTCCAGGCCACAGAGGCCATGGAGGGACAGGGCTTCACAGGCTGTCCAGTTCAGGCCCCTGACTTACAGGAAGCCACCAATATGGACCAACCTCAAGAGCACCAAGAGGTATCAGCAATTTTTCTGGTCACTTGCCTTGCCCTCCACCCACTTTTGTCTGAATTCCCTCCTCAGAGTGGTCTCCAGCAGCTTGGTCTGTCTCATGCTTTTCTGGTGTCTGACACATAGAAAATGCCCTGCAAATATTTGATGAATAAACTTATGAAGCCTAGCAACCAATTGGACAGACTTTTTTCCATCCTGGTTATACCCTGTCCTGAGCACAGCCAGATGGCAAGGTCCCTAGAAAGGGACCAGCCAGAAACAGGTGATAGAAAAGAGAGGGTAGGATTTTAAGCACTCACTTTCTGCTCCAGGATGGATCAAGCATAACCTCAACACTAAGATTTAGAAAAGCAAAACCAAGAACACCAAGGGCAAAACAGGAGTGCAAGGAAACCTTCTGGGCGGACAGGAGGTAACATGGTGCAGGGACTCAGGCTGAAGGAAGAATCACATGGCAAGATTCTCTGGAGACGCCTATTACCATGGGACTTCCTGTCATCCACCAAATTCCAACATGAGCCATAGCCAACCCATCACTCTGGGTGTTGGTAATGAATCTGATGTTTGCTAAAAACAATTTTTCCAAAATGAAGCAGACCTTCATCCCTTCCAAACTGATCAGCAAACAGTGCTACATTAAAGCCAGCCCTTCACCCCTGTGACAGTGACACAAATTGACCCCTCATGCTACTACAGCACAATGGTTACATGCACAAATTCTACTGTCAGACTCAGACTGCCTGGGTTCATATACTAGTTCTGCTCCTAACAGCTCATACAATCTCCCTATGTCTCAGTTTCCTCTTTTGTAAAACGGAGTTACAATGAGCCGTCCAAGAGTTAATATAAATAGAGCACCAAATGCAAGCCTAAAAACATGGCTCATATTGTATAAATGTTTGCCAAAGCAGTATGAAATAGGACGAGAGTCAAGTTATTGGAAAGATGTTTCCAGAATGAATGAAACAGGATAAGTCAAGCATTGGCCATATGGTAAAGCTGGAATGTTGCTATGGAAATTAGCAGACAAAGGAAGGCACTATCTACCTAAGCATACACTTGTTTTGAGTGGTCTACCAACAGTTCTCCATCTTGTGTGTGTGTCTGGCCTGTGAAATGAAATGCAGCTAGACAGAGACTTCCAAGTTCATGCACAAAGAGAAATGGCCTGTTTTTAAACCCGCTTGCCCAGAGCCTTGTCTGAGGAGGGAGAAGGTTCAGTGTTCCCTACCTTTATTGGAGAGTCAGTTTTTCTGTCTAGAGAAATGGGCCAACAGAAGTCAACCCACCCACCAGGAAAGTAGGAGTTTCACAAATTGTAAAGCCCTGTGTGGAGGAAAGGTCCTTCTGCTCTGATGATCTCAGAAGGAAACTGCAGAACTGTGCCCACATTGGCTCCTTCGGAGTCCCTCATGAAAAATCCATTGGAAATGATGGGGGCGGGGGGGGGGTGCGCGGAAGGGCGGTGGCAGAGCATATCTTGGTGAAGGGCAAGGGGCATTATGCATGGCTTTCAGCATTATGTACGGTCAAAATAAACACAGCTGTGGGCCAGGGTCAAAGGCCAGGATTTGGCATTAGACACAGAGGTTCATGGTTCAGTTTGGCTACTTGGCCAATTATGTGATCTCAGATATAACACTCATTCCTTTTGCTTCTTGGCTTCCTTGACTTGAAACAGGAAGGACACACTGTGGCCTTGCCTACTGTCACTGTAGTGTTGTTGGGTCCAGATAGAGAAAGCACTCCCAAGGACAGCCCTTGGCTGTACAGTAGGTTATTGTTAACACAGATTGCAGTATATAAGACGCTATATAAGATGCAACCTTTCTATGGCTTCCTTCTTATTTTCTCTTTGATTTTAAGCAAACATGTACTGAGCCAGGTCTGTGTTTTGTGCTAGATTGGTTGCAAAGTTCATGACTCCTCTGCTGGCCAAGCTCTAAACTCCACTTGAGGACCCCTTCTCAGGAGCCCCTATATCCTGCCACATCAGGCCTGCTTGCCCCCACCCCCAGGCTTGGTCTCTGCAGCACTCCACGTGGGCTGAGGGTATTTCTAGTATCCAACCCCATCTCAGTATATCTCCTGCAGCCATCATGCCCCCAGCCCCTTTTCCTCTCCCCTGGGTACACAGCAGCCTCCTGACTCCCTCCTTCCACCCCTGTCCCCTTCAACAGAAGCCACATGGTCTTTGACAATGACAACACATGCATGCTACAAATCTGCTCCAGCCCTTCCCATAGATCCTCACCTCACAGAGTAAAACCTACATACAGCCTATAAAGTAAAACCCACATACAACAGCCTATAAAGCCTGCAGTGCACATCAGAATCACTGGGGGAGCTAAACAATGCTGACACTGAGTGCCATCCTGGAAACCCTCCTTTAATTGGCCTGGGTATGGCATTGGCATCACTTTTTAAAAGAACACTTGATGAGTCACTGTGCAGTCAAGTTGACAACCACTGCCCTAGTCGTTTTGCCTCCTACTGCCCCTATGAGCTCATCTCCCACTACTGCCCTCTTGTTCCAGTAGCCCGGGCCTCCTTCCTCTGCCTCAAACATACTAAGCATGCTAATGATATCTCATAATAGAACTTACCATTTCCTCTGCCAGGTGTGTTCCTTTATCTTTTCTTTTTTGCTGATATTGGGGTCTGAATTCAGGGTCTTACACTTGCTAGGCAAGTGCTCTGTCACTTAAGCTATGCCCCCCAGCTCTTTTTTGCTTTCATTATTTTTTAAATAGGGTTGCATGATTTTGCCCAGGGCCAGTGTAGGACAGTGATCCTCCTACTCATGCTTCTACATAGCTGGGAATACAGGTGTGTGCCCTGTCTGGACTGTTTCTGCCTCTTGTATCCATATGGCTCACTTCCTCATATCCTCCAGCTCTTTGCACAACTGTCACTTTCTTATTGAGACCTTCTCTGACCATCCAAACAATTTACAACCCCTCCTCCTATCTCAGGAGGTCCCTACCCTCTCTCCCACTTTACATATCCCACTAGCATTTACTACCATTGAACATGCTGCACATTGGACTTCTGGGTTATTTGTGTCCACTAACTAGAACACAAGCTAGGTCTATGTCTCTAGACTATGCAGGCACATGATGAGGACTTCAAACATCAACTTCAAGTGAATACGCACTCTCCTCTTCCTTGTAGGTCTCAAGTCCTTTCACCCCTACAGCCCAGCCAGATTCTGCCTGGGCCAAGAACAACCACACTCAATTGTACAGTATACAGACAATGCTCAATCAATGTCTATTGTGCTGAATTGAACTCTTCTCCCTAAAAGAACACAATCTCCAAAACCAGCTGCTAGATCTTCCCTGAAAACTCCAGATAGGAGCTCACTCTGGTTTGTAGCTTTAAGCAAATTTTTAAAACGAGGAGAAAAGGGGAAAAAGAAGGTGTGGGGGGAGCTCACAAAAAGTTAATGAGATTTTCTCAGCTGTGGTACGTGCCCACATTTTTAATAATTAGGAGTACTAAAAATTCTAACTGAACCTTAAAGGAACATCCTCATGTAACAAAGAGAGAAGTGAAGACAGCCTTCTCTGTCAGGCATAATGACTTGTTAGCTCTGGAAGATGGATACACTTTAAAAAACTAATTTACAGAAAAAATTTCTTCATAAAAATGCAACTAATTGGGTTAAAATGACATATTAAGGGGGAATGCCAGATGATTCTAGCACCCTTAAGGAGTAAATTAGGTTATTCATCCTCAAAGTCTCTAATGGGAGAAAGTGGTCCCCCTACTCAGCAGATGGAGACACTGACACAGAAGGGACAGACCCTGGCTGAAGAGGGAGAGGGACCCAGAAGTCTGAAGTCCAGTTCTAGTTCTGTTCCCAGCACTGTGAAGCCCCATCTTCCCACAGGCAGGTTGACAAGGGCCCAGTCACTGACTCTGCTCACCCACTGGGTCTGAGGTCAGGCAGGGGCCGGTCGAGGGGCAGGCGGTCACTGAGGTAGGCGTTGTAGCCGTAGTACTGGAACTGCTTCAGGGCCATGCGCCGGCCTTCGGGGCTGAGCTCCTGGCCCCAGTGTGCAAACAGAGAGGAGTCCGTGAAGGGCTCAGCCTCTGCCTCCTCAGGCTTGGCAGGAGCCTCTGGAGAAAGAAGGGACAAGGAGACAGTGGGTCAGAGTTTACTTCTGCATATGCCACAAGAACCCCTTCTCCTTTCTTATAACAGCCTTAGGTAAAACAGTCTTAGCTCCTTCATTGTTGAGTGGGGGGAGACTGGAATTTTCATACTTCCCAAAGAGTCATTCATCCATGAATCCATCCCTTCATATATCCAACAACCACCAGACATAGGAATACAGAAATACACCCAGCATATTCTGCCAAGAAGCCTGATGCCCTGTGGTTTCAGCACAGAGCCTTCTCTTTTCCCAGTTTGCCTTCCTGCCAGAGATGTTGGCCCTAATCCTCAAACTGTGCCTTTGCTTCTCTTTCCTCCACCAGCACCCATTCCCTTCTGGTCCTGAGCCTGCTCACAACCAGGCCCCTAACTGGGGTCTTCTCCTTTGCCCAATCCGGGCAGCCTACCTCCCCTTTTACTGTCTGGTCCTGCTGACAACTGGCTGGACCATGCTGGGCCCAGCCACATGCCTCCTGCCACTCCCAGACTCTGCCTCCTGTGGAGGGGATCAGGATATTGGTGATGGAAAAGCCATCCCCAACCTGCCATGTACTCTGAGCACTGCTTGCTGGACACCTGGGAGATTCATGGAGGCAGCCTCAGCTGGAGATTTCAAATTAGTTCCCTGGGACAGGTAGTCAGGCAACCATTGAAGGCTAGAAATCAAAGAAACTGGACAGAGATGCCTAGCCTACTGGACAGTGCTTTCTCTGCTTGTAAATGTAGGAGATAAGAAAGAGATGAAACCAGGAACCTGGAAGGAGACAGAGACCCAAGAAAGCAAAGCAGGTCAGAATCAGAAGAAGTAGGTGTGGGACACCTGTCAGTGTCTCCGTAGCTGTCCACAGGAGACCAATGCGTGCATATTACCCCTAAATGTACAGGGTAGAGATAGTCAAGGGGTCGGGGTCCCCTGGTCTTCAAGATCAGGGCACTCAGAGCTACAGACTACCGTCTCCTCTTGGGCCACTCTGCTAAAAGGGGTCTGGGAGAGGAGGAGGCCTGGTAGCAAATGAGAGCACCCAGACCCTCCTAGCATGGAGTGGGTGCTCCAGCAGCATGAAGCCCTCAATAATGGAAGTATGCAGAGGCTGTGGTGGAGCAGAAGGGCTTGAGGGAGCATGTGGTTCTGTAAGCAGGTAGAGCAAATGCATGCCAGAGATCATGGTGAGCAAGAGAGGCAAAAAGACAAGTGACGGGACTCCAAGGTGCTGGCCAGGCTCACATGCACAAGGTACCTCTTCTCTCAGGCCCTGTCTTCCAATTTGGACACGTGTGTAACTTCTGGGATAAGTGTAACAGCCAATATTGCTGTTTGCTTCTCTTACCATGTACAAGACCCTCTTCTAAGCTGTCCCACATAGCCACTCATCTCACCAAGATCATCTCCATTTAACAGATGAAGAAAGTGGAACTCAAGGTCAAGTTCACCAGAAGAAAGCAAAGAAGGTGGGGTTTAATCCTGGGAAGTCTGTTTCCCCAGGCAGCGGTCCTACCACTGTGCCTCACTGCCTCTACATGGTAGTAATGAACTCTAAAGAAATACGTGGTACATTACCTCAGTTACCAATTTTCCTTAAAGAAAAAAAAAGTGATCCATCAAACAGATTAGGATATATTGAGGAATAAAATGCAAACCATGCATGCATTTCTAAGACAAAACATGGTCATGCAGGGACCAGCCCAAAGCTCTGTTGTGGAATTGGGGTGCCCTTGCTCCTTCTTCTCCCCTGGGACGCATGCTAGAAGGGAAGCAGAATTGAATGATCTTGAAGGTCCTTGTTACTGCTAAAAAGATGTATGACTCATTCGTTTGGAATGGGGGTAGTAAAAACCTAAATCAGTGAACCAACTGAATCATATAATATTTAAAAGAAATGTAGTTTTATTGCTCTCAAATGTCTAAATGGATATTATCAAGTAAAATGAGATCAGTTAATGAAAAAATTATGATTCACAATTAGGCCTGGGTTGCATAATAACATATTACAAACATATTGAAGTCCTGAGTTACTGCACTCCATGTCTCTGTCATTTTACTCAGCATGGGTACAAATGACAGTGAACTTAACACCAGCAGGTCCTATGGCTGGAGTGGCACTACAGCTGGAATGAAGCAGTATTTGTTGCATTCTTGTCAAGAGCCAGGCACTGTGCTGAGTTCTTATCTTTCTTTATCCCCATGGGTAGAGACTCCATGAGCACAGGGCATGTCTGTCCTCTTCCTGCTGTGTCTCTGGTTTCTAGGGGCTTGATATATCATTTAAAATGAGTTAGTTAATAAGTAGTCCATAGTGGTTAGTTATTAGACATGAGAAAACCAAACATGAAAAAGCTAAATGACCAATTCGCTGTCACCCAGTTAGTCAAAGGCACTGAACTTCACATTCATTCCTTTACTCCAGGGGTAGCACACACTGTGGTCCATGGCCCACTACCTATTTTTTTAAATAAAATTTTATTGAAACACAGTCAATCCATGTGCTCTCATGTAATCTATGGCTGCTTTCAAGCTACAAGAACGGGGTTGAGTAGATATGATGGAGACCATATGGCCTGGGAAACTGAAAATACTTACTCCTAGCTCTTCGAGGAAAAGCTTGCTAGCCCTGCAGTTATAGTTTGAATGGGAAATGTCCCCTGCATGTTCTTGTGTTGAATGTTTGGTCCTTAGCAGGTGGTGCTATTTGGGAGGTTTTGGAGACTTTAAGAGGTGGGGCATAGCTGGAGAAAGCAGGTCACTGGGCCCTACAAGGTTATACATAGTCCCCAGGCCCTTGCTTGCTCTCTGCTTCCTGTCTGCCATAAGGTGAACAGCTTCCTCCTCCACAAGCTCCTGCCGCCATGATGATCTGCCTTACCATAGGGCTTTAATCAACAGAGTCAGGGACTATGACCAAAACCTCTGAAACCATGAGCCAAACGTAAATCCTTTCTCCTTTAAGTTATTCTTTCAGGTATTTTGGTCACAGCTGCACAGAAGTAACTAACACACCTTCTCTGTACCCTAATAATTGACTGCCCTGGATAAACAGACCTTGCTGTGTTAACTCCATTCATTTTCTTCTTTCCCTTCCCAAGGGTTGGTTAAGGGCACTAGCTATAGATCCAGAATCCAGCTCTACCATTTACCAGTTTAGTCTACCTAGTCCAAAGCTGCAGTTTTGTCATCTGGCAAATGGGATTAATAATAATAGCTCCTCCTTCATAGACATTTATGAGTACTACCACATAAGGCAGATGTGAGATGTCCACATAAGGAATTTGGCACAATGTGTGGCACACAGTAAGCTCTCAGTAAACATTAGCTAACATTAGGACTGTGAAGCCCAGAGCCCCATCAAGGTATTGTTCCACCAACACCACTGGAATTGGGGAAGATGCTCTGCCCTGAGGTCCTCTGCTCTGAAAGGTGCTGATACTGTCTATCCCCCAGATGAAGACTCTCCACGCCCAAAGACAAGCAGTCTACCCTTAGCCAACCCCAACCCCATCTCCCTTCCCCAGTAAGAAAGCAGAATTACATACATGGTCATCCAGCAAGGGGACCATTTCTGACACAGTGGTGGGACAAAGAGGCCTCAGAGAAGGGCCTGGGATAGATGCTCTGCTGGTATCCAGGGTGTCTGAACATGTTTGGTGATGTCCAGACTCTTGGATGTCTTCTCACTTAGGGACAAAACCCCTCCCAAGAGTGGTTTTGGGAGCCTCTGCTGGAGTCCAGACCACCTGCGCACATCTAACCAACTAATGGGGTGACTGGAGAGAAGCATAAATCCAGGGTCTAAGGGATCCCTCCAGAAGGGCTTCTTTCCAGGAGGGCTCAATCAAGACAGAGATCGAGCAGAGCACTGTGAATTGAGCCAGAAGCACAGCCAGAGTATTCAGGGAACTCTGAATACCATCCCCAGCCTTCCAATCCCAGGTGCTTGTCTGGGTCTTAAGGAGAGACAGGCTGAAAGGGAAAACAGAAAGAGCTGCTTCATCACCAGTGAGCTGCACACCAAGTCCAAGTGGCAGGCATGTGACGCAAAGACAGAAGGCCTCCATCCACCTCCCTTGACTTACCATGGAGGATTCAGCCTGGCTTCTGGGTGAGGGAGCCACCACCATGCTATTCCCCACTCCTCTTGGCTTTCTACTTTCCTTAGTGTACAAGACAAAGTTCCTCCTGATACCTGCAAGGGTCTGCGATCAGGTGATCAGAACCCTGTAAGTCCAAGGCTCATTCCCACCAGTACTCTGGTTTTCCCCTCTTGCCAGGCCACAGCGGTAGCTCACCTCAGAGCCTTGGTTTCCGTGTCTCCCTGGGGCTAGTTGCCCTTACTGCTTCAGTGTTTCCCCCCAAAAGTCACTCTCCCAGCAAGGCCTTTCCTAAACATCCAGCCTCCTCCCAGTATTCCTCTCGCACCCACCTAGATATTTTTTTGCCATTTATCTTGCAAATTCTTTGTCTCCCCCCACTAGAATGTGACCTCTCTGAAGCTGGGATTTGCTTTGTTCACAGCTGACTCACCAGTGATCATAATAGCATCTATCACCCAGGAGGTGCTTAACCAGTATCAGTAACATGAATGAGCAGGGCAGTTGTACAAGCAGGGTGGGAGTCCCAAAGATCCTGCCTGCTGGGGGCCTTCCAAAATCCTTCTGCCAGTGTAAAAAAAGGACTGGAGCCTGGGTGAGAAGGCAAGAGTGTGTAGCTGGTGAAGGCATGGCAGAGGTATGGCTGCATGCCAGCAATTTCCTACCTAGTTCACTTAAACAAATGATTGCAAACAGTTATGTAGACTCAGAACACACTCTTAGATGTTCTCTTGGAATATGGTCACTGTAGACAACCTGCACCACTCTTCTACGGTACCTTGGTAAATTTCTTATACCAGAGAATTACCTGGTACCTCTCTTAAGCATTGAGTACCAGATAATTACTCTGTGCACAGAGTAATTACTCTGAAAATTTGGG